GGAACTTTGGCATGCCCGCTTGGGGCATCCACACTCAGGGCGTCTTTCAGTCATGTTTAAACAATCTCTTCCTGGAAAGAATTATGTTGGAATTTAAGCTAAACATGCTTGTACCAATTGTGTTGAAGCAAAAACCTATACCAAGTTGTTTCCCTCCAGCACCACTATTATAAATGAGCCTTTCCACATTATTCATATAGATCTTTGGGGCTCTTCTCCTACTATCTCTCGCCTGGTTTTTGAGATTTTTCTCTTTTCATTGATCATGCCACCCGATACAATTGGATATATTTTCTTCGTCTGAAGTCTGAACTTAGTTCTGTTGCCATAGAATTTCTTGATATGATTCAAACTCAATTCCGCAAAACAGTCAAAATTATTCGTTTTGATCCGGGTGGAGAGTTTAGCTCAATTCCTTTGCATGATGTCTATCGTTCTCGTGGGATTCTGAGTCAAATGTTATGTTTTGGAGTTTCTCAACAAAACGGTTTGGTGGAACAAAAAAATCGACATGTAGTGGAGCTCACAAGAGCTTTGCTTCTTGCCTCTTTTGTTCCTAATCGTTTTTGGCCTGAAGTAGTAGTCACTGCAATGCGATTGATCAACTATCAAGTCACTCTTGTGTTACATGCATCAGACAAGTCCCTACTATGCTCTTTTCGGTCACCATCTAGATTATTCTCGTCTTAGGGTCTTTGGTTGTCTTTGTTTTGGGGTGGATTATAATGAGACTTTTGCACCTGTTGCTAAGATGTCCACCGTCAGAACCTTGCTTGCAGTTGCTTCTCTGTATAACTGTCCTCTCTATCAACTCATTGTGAAGATTGCATTCCTCCATGGGGGTTTGGAGGAAGTGATATATATGGAACGACCGCTTGATTATACTGCTGGCCGTGAAGATCAAGTCTATTTATTACATCGGTCTCTTTATGGTCTCAAACAGGCACCCATGGCCTGAGTTGAGAAATTTAAGCTACGATTGTTCAATTGGGGTTTCAACAGAGTCTCAATGATCCCTCCCTCTTCACGAAGGTAACTCTGGATGGCATTGTTGTTCTTCTGTTTTATGTCGATGACATGGTCATTACAAGAACGGATTAGACGAGGATTTCTCATCTTAGGGTTGAAACAGGCTTTCGACATTATGGATCTAGGTAATCTCTCTTACTTTCTTGGACTGGAGGTAAACTGCAATGATCAATGCATCCTTCTCAATAAGTGGAAATACATCTCTGACTTGCTAGTTGACCACAATTTCGATTACTTCAGAAAGACTCCAGTGAACGCCTAAAGGATGGGTCTCAGTATCGCAATATCATGGGTAGTCTTATCTACCTTTCGACTACTAGACCTGATATCTCATACACAGTACAGGTGGTTAGTCAGTTTATGACAGAGCCATGTACAGGATATTGTGTTATCTTCAAGGGACAAAGGATATCATTATTTTGTTTCCTTCTGCAGGCACTCCTAATATTAATGCTTACTCTGATTATGAATTTGTAGGCTGTATAGATACTCGACGTTCAACTTCAGGGTGGTGTGTTTAGTTTGGCGAGGATTATATATCATGGCGGTGTAAGAAGTAGGACAAAGTCTCCAAATTCTCTACGGAAGCTGAATACCTTTCTATGTCTGAGGTAGGGTCCGAAATGGTGTGGTTACGCCGTCTCCTCTCTGACTTTGGTATTACTTGTCCTGCGCCCATGGTGTTACACGTTGATAACACCAATGCCATCCACATCGCCGTCAACCCAGTTCTCTACGATCATACGAAGCAATTGAAATCCATGTACATTATGTTCGTGATCTCTTTTGTGATGGTACTATTGGCTTACATCATCTTCAGACAGAAGAACAATTTGTTGATCTTTTCACGAAGGCCTTCTCAACTAGTCGTCATTGGTATTTGGGGAACAAATTGATGCTACGAGATTGAGATCAATTTGGGGAGGATATTATTATATGTTAGTAGGCGGCTGATTATATGAGTTGTTGGAGAGTTATGTGTGGGGCCCATTTATTAAGCCCATACGTATGTCATGCAAGCCCATGCAATGTTAGACGTTGAGTGATAATCCTAACCTAGGGCACGCTATGTATAGAGGAAGGATGAGGGATGTCGTTGTACACTGTCATTCTCATACTTCTCAATAAAATCAGTATTCTGAAGAGCGTTCAACCTCTTCCGTGGTTTAGTCTTGGATATTGAGGGATACCACGTAAACTCCGGTGTCTGCGTTTGATTTCATTCTGTTCCGGTATCATTCTGCTTCTGTTTCTGTTATCATCTCTCAGTTGACCAGTTAACGGAATACCAACGATTCCTTCTCCTCAATCTGATTGTCCCTTGTGCATACATCACAATCGAGAATGGAGAAATCCGGTGCCGTTTGCAGCTGCGACCATCACCTGCCGACCGTCATGGTCACCGATGACTACGGTATTGACGCGCCTGGCTCTGATCCCTGGTTCGAGTCCTGGTCTCCACTCTTTGATTCCAAGTACTGGTTTGCGCTCATGATTTATAAGTTTTATGGGAGCGTATAAGGTACAAAACTCCTGTCTACAAAATCTTTTGAATATTATCTCATAAGCTTTGGATAATTTACAATATGAACCAGAAGAATGCTACTGATCTAGAGTCAAACCAAAAGAATCAAGGAAGGAATTTATGTGTTTTTTGTAAGAGGAATAATCATAATATGAAAGGTTGTTGCCGGATTAAATAGAATAATAAAGTAATAAAGATTGAAAATAGTTATCACATACATTCCCGTAAATTTATGATCATTAGTTTCTAGATACTTTTCTTATTAAAGGAAATAGTTCTAAATTAAAATGGTCAAATTCCCCGAAATTCATTGCAAAAACCATGATTTTTTTAATCTATTAATTATGCTACCGTCTCCAACCAACTTCAAACCAATTCAACGGAATAACAATTCTTTCCTCACTACCAGCCCACTACCTAAACTAATAATTCCATCCGTGTTTGACAAACGCCAGCCAATAGGAACAAAGTCAAAGTCAACACATTCCCAACCCACCAAGACTATATAAAAGAAACCCCGCCAACAATCTCAAGCATCGAAAAGCAACAAAGAACAGGGCAAAAAGAAGATTGGAGTTTTAGATCAATATTATGTCATCAAACCATCTCAGAGCCAAGATGCGCTGCAGGGCTACGAGTGGCCGGATCGGTAACAGTCCCGGAGACGGCGTTGTTTGTGGAAGTAGAGGAGGAGGAGCACCGTCGTCGAAAGAGAATATTTTCCTAGGTTGATAGAACACCATTGATTGAAGGTAGTGAATTGACAACTTTAGTCGATGAGTCAATTCACTATTCTGTACCAGAATTACTCCGGTAGAGGAGGTTTGGTTCGTTAGGGCCTCAATCTGTTTACTCCGGTGGAGGTTAGTCGCCTGCTGGGGACTCAGATTGAGAGGGTCTGGAGACCTTTAGTCAAGACTGCAGACTGTTTAAGAACCTCCCGCAGTATAACTATCTTTGAATTAGAGCTTGGTAAATTACAATCTGGCTTAACTGCAGTCTAGGGGGAACCATATCCGGGTGACCTCTCTCAACTTGAAAACCTTTTACTGCTTTGCTTGTTTGTTTACTTGGACCTTCACTACATTTTTATTGCTAAATAATAAGAATTCGCGGAGTATTTTGATAAATATCTAAAAACAAACTTTTAGCAAAATATCTTATTTGAAAATTCAACTCTTGGACACATCTAGAAATGTAATAAATATGTGCAAAATTAATTAGAGAGTCCCCTACATATATTTTTTAGTAACAAGGTCCAAAATGAAAGTGAAAAACTAATGTGATATAATGATCATTATCAATTATCACATGCATTCCGGTATATCTTACATAGCTTATTAACATTGGTTTTTAGATACTTTTTCTGTTACAGGAAATAGTTCTAAACTAAAATGGTCAAATTCCCCGAAATTATTTGCAAAAACCATTATCTCTTTTAATTCATCTTATCATAGATTTATGGAGCGGATCTTATGATAGAAACTATCACACAACTAGATCTTCAATCACATGCATTGATTTTCAGCTATAAGTAAGCAAACTCAAAGCCTCATATGGCAGTTAAACAAACAAAGAAACAACAATGTGGATGCAAAATTGTTTATTTGTTTCCCTCCTATTATTCACCGTAGCAACTTCTTTCACTGAGGCGCATGGTAGAAAGCATTGGTGGGATCTGGGGTTTCAAAAAACAAGGGTGGAAGTGAGGAATGAGCTAGAAGGAGAGCGGGAACTTAGAGTTCATTGCTGGTTTGGAGATGATGATCTCGGGCTTCGAGTGTTAAAGCCACACAATTTCTTCAGTTGGAAATTTCGTCCAAACTTATTCCGAACCACGCAATTCTATTGCGCCATGGATTGGGGAGAGGGAAAGGTTCATTGGTTTGACATCTACATTTGCAGAAGAGATTATGCGCGTTGTGGCAATTGCCTATGGATCGTGAAGCAGAGTGGGCCATGTTTTTATGATATGGGAAATCGTGCTTATGATTTCTGTTATCCATGGAATCCAGGAAGCCTAATGAAATTGGACTAAAATAAGAGTTGGTTTTCAAAATAAGAATTGTATGCTAGTCTTCTAAGAGGTTTTTCGAACAATAAAGGGTATTATATATGTTTATTTGTGATATAGTTTTCGATTGGGTTTGTAGGACGTTGGTAATTACTAATTAGTTTAATTTTTTATTGAATGTTACGCACATTCTCTTAGGTTTGGCTTTGATTAGTTGTTATTGGTGGTTATATGTTATGATAAATTCGGTTTTTGTTGTTGAATTGTTAATAATTTGTTGGAAATTTGACATCTAATTAAGGATCCTAATTTTCAATGTCAGCTATAATCATAAATTTTTGTATACCCCTTTGGTGATTTGGGGAGTACTAAAACATATTATGCAGGGAGCGAATAGAGTATAAAACTCCTATCTACAAAATCCTACAAAATCATTATCTCCATACGTCCATTAACTTTGATATTAGAGCATCTGCATGTCTCCATTATCAGCCTTTGTACGTGTGAAGCAAAAGTTTCTTACACTGAGAGCCAGGATAACGATTATCTTAATTCATTTTTTAGAGGTTTAATACCCCTATGTTTGGCCCGACTTTTAGAAGTGATTTTAGCCTTCAAAAGTTGAAGCAGGCAAAACACCTGTAAAAGCTCGGCTTTTGAAAAGCCGAAAAGCGCTTTTGTCTAACATAAAAGCAAAAGCTCTGATTTGGAGCTTCTGCGAAAAGTTGTTTTGAAAATACAAGATTATCCTTACCATATTTTAATTTTATTTCAGAAAATATAATTTTTCTTCATTTATATCATTTTAAAAATAAAATAAATTATTTAATATAAAAGAAATTGAACAAGATCCATTTTGTTTACTTTATTGTTTAGAATTTTATTCATATTTTATATTATAAGTCCTTTATAGTCATTTTACACAATCTTTCATATTAAAAAGCACTTCTAATAGTTTTACAGCCAAACACTCAACTGAATTTTTAAAAAAGTACTTATCTAAAAGCTCCAGCCAGAAGCTGCTTCTACAAAAGCTACCGCATGGCCAAACTATATATTACGAGGTAATTAATAGTACGGGTGATTCTCCATCTGAAGCCAGTTATACCAATGCTAATTAGTTCTCTCAAGGTATCAAAAAGGTCGATTAACCAAAAACCTATACAAAACCCTGAAAATGCTCTCGAACTCGCAGCCGCAAGAAAACCCTTCGACGTCCGATCCGACTATGTCTGGTCGTCCGTCGGACCCTCCTCCTCTGACCTCCCCGCTTCAACCCCTTCTTCTGATTCAGTTGCAAAACCTCTGGCTCTAAGCTTCAAAGCGGCCCTCTCTGGATCGCCGATGGCGAGTCATACCCGCATCCCTCAATGGACTTTCGTTGGAGACCAAGACCTTGAACCATCATCCTTTCAAGGGGAGCCTGCGCTGAGAGTCTCTCCCGCCTTGAAGGAACGTTTATGCCAGCCATGGAAGAGGACTCTGATAGTAAGGTTACTTGGTCGTTCGGTCTCCTACAATTACATCTGCTCCCAACTCTGATGGAAGTGGCGGCCGGTAGGCTCGCTGGAAATCATGGATCTCAACAACGACACTTTCTTGGCCACGTTTGGCAACGATCAGGACTACCTTCGAGCCTTGACCGGGGGACCGTGGGTCATCCTTGATCATTACTTGATCGTTCATCAATGGTCTCCCTCCTTTCGTCCGTCCGATAAACCACACAAATCTGTGGTTGCCTGGGTTCAGCTCCCAGAGCTGCCGGTTCATTTTTACCACAGAGAAGTTCTATTTGCTTTGGGAAATCTCATCGGCAGAACAATAAAGCTGGATTACCACACAGAAAGGTTGGAAAGGGGCAAGTTCGCTCGCATCGCAGTGGACCTGGATATAGGGATGGCAATCGGTCGGGTTGGGGCGGGTTTTGTCAAACCCAAACCCAAACCCATGGGTTTATCCGTCAAAAAAACCCGGGGTAAAACCCGTTGGGTTTGAAAAACTCAAACCCAACCCAACCCGCTGGGTATCCGCGGGTTCATGGGTACCCGTGGGTTTTTGTGGTAAAAAATTTACAATAACAAATTTCTTTCAAAATAAAAGTTTAACATCAATTTTCTCATACAAATTATTCATACAAAAAATACCAATCTAGAACATACAAGCAAATCGCAAATGATCAATACAAATTGTTCAAAATTAAAGATAAACATCTATAAACAACAAGATTAATTGAAATTTTCTTCCTCGTCAAATAAGTTTCTTCACTCTCCACTCCATAATATCAACTTCATTCTAAATAATTAGAAAGATCAAATTATGCATGTCTCCACAAACATAAATAATATTAGTTGTTTAAAGAAGATATATTATTTAGAATATTAAATATACCGGGAAAGTAATTATATGTGTGGGCGGGTACCCATGGGGCGGGTTTACCTAAACCCAAACCCAATCCAACCTGATGAATAGTGTAGCCGGGTTTAAACCCAAACCTGGCCCAAAACCCGTCAACACGGGTTTTACCCGCGTTGACCGGGTTGGGTCGGATGGGTACCCGTGGGTTCGGGTTTTGTTGCCATCCCTACCTGGATATGACCAAGCCACTACCAACTCGAATTTGGCTTGATGGAATATGGCAAGCGGTGGTTTACGAGAATCTTCCGACCATATGCTATGATTGCGGTCGCATCGAACACTCAGAGGAATACTGCCCGGAGAAGAAGCCTTCAAATACGTTAGCTATGATATCCATCCCTGATCCTGACCAGCAACACTCGCCGCCGGCAGAAGTTGCATCGGAACCCCCGGCCGGATTCGGCCCTTGGATGCAAGTCTCGCGTAAATCCAGTAAGCCAAAACAGAAAGCCGTGTCAAAGGCCGGAAATCAAGCTGATTCTACTATCAAAGGGGTCGTGGAATCAGGGCGGGGATCAGGCAAGCCAACCTCAAAAGGAAAGGCAGATATCGCGAAAATCACCTCTGCAAAGGAAGAGAAAGGGAAAATTATTCTACGACCAGCCTCAAATACTGGATCTACCTCTAACCAAAAAGGTAAAACGATAACGAAGGATATGAAGTCAGCCAACAGGAAAGTCACAGAGGAAGATGCCAAGGAGTGGAGACCAGTGGGCCTTAAGGATAATCCATCAAGCAATGGAAAGTTGTTGGCAAGCCAGCCTAGTAATGACAAGGAAGCCTCCCCGTCCTCATCTAAGAATACAAGCTCGCAGCCCGTTATCCAAACCGTTCTTGGGCCCAACAACACCAAAATCCATATTGTGGCGGTTCCACCCCTGGTTACCAACCAAAAAGAAAACTCCGATCCTAAAAGTCGGTCGTCGTCGGCTAGAGAGCACTTTACCAAGAAGGGCAACAATAAGAACCAAAATCAAGAGAAACACAGGGGAATTAACCTCAAAGCGGTGAAGAAGCCAATTCAGATCAACTCGTCGGGCATGTTAGAGATGTCCAAGCACAGGAAGGGGTCGACGTTTCCAATCACTATCAAGGATATCGAGGGTTTTTTTGCTACTTCTCCGTCGGTGACCGATGGCAAATCCCGCAACGATGACGAATCCACCAATGATGTTATGATGGCGGAAGAAGCATGCGCTCAAATGACAACGGCCAACCCTGAGCTTGCGCATCCTCAAGCTCCAGCCTTTTCACCTCAATGATCCCTGAGCTTTTGCGCTCGTTTTTTCCTTTCTTAACCCTTTCTCCTTTTCCTATGGCTAGTAGTTTAAACATTATAATCTTGTCCTGGAATGTGTGTGGTGCAGGCAGCAAGGCTTTCAAAAGAGCCATTCGGTTGCTTATTCAAAGCTACAATCCTCACTTCCTCCTTTTGTTCGAACCTCAGATCAGTGGAGACAAGGCGGATACGGTTTGCGGAAGCTTGGGTTTTGATGAAGTTATCCGAGTTGATGCTAAGGGGCGCAAGGGTGGGATCTGGCTAGCATGGAAAACCAATGATTTCCAGCTTCAAGTTATCGAGGCTAGCAAACAGCATATCACCGCGAAAGTGTCGAGTATCAATAACCCGGATTGGCTGCTCACCGGAATCTATGGGAGTCCTCAGTAAAAATATCATGGACTTCTTTGGGATAAGCTGATTAATACTAGTACGAGTTGTAATCTGCCCTGGATCATTTCTGGAGATTTCAATTCCTATCGTCTCCCTTCTGAAAAATCGGGGCCTAGCACAGCAGCATCTTTGCGGCGATGCTCAAAATTTGCAGGTTGGATTGATGCAACTAACCTCATTGATCTGGGATACTCTGGTGCTCGATATACCTGGTTTAGAGGAGATACCAGCAGGACTCACAGAGCTAGTAGGATAGATAGGTCTCTTTGTAATGCGGAATGGAATGCTACCTTCCCTCACACCACAGTCCAGCATCTACCCAAGTTACACTCTGACCAACTTCCCATTTTGACGTCGAGTCACCAGCAGGCTAGTATTTCCAGCCCGGACAAACTCTTTCGCTTCGAAGCAGCTTGGTTGCTCCATGATAAGTTTGCAGAATTCCTGAACAACTCCTGGAATGCCGCTGCAACTCTGCCGCAAGCTCTTGCTGAGGTAGCTGACAAATTGAAGAAGTGGAATAAGGAAGTGTTTGGAATTATCCACCAACGCAAAAGAAGGCTGCTAGCTAGGATTCAGGGCATCCAGCAGAAAATTGCAGACAGCTTCCATCCAGGGCTGCTGAAACTTCAAGCTAAACTGGAGACTGAGCTTGACACTATCCTAGCTCAAGAGGAACTAATTTGGTATAAACGAGCTAAGGAGAAGTGGGTGCATCTTGGTGAACAGAACACTTCTTATTTTCATCACCAGGCGACTAGACGCAGTAGACGCAACAAAATCACCACTCTGCAGGATGACAATGGAGATTGGATTGATGATCCTGATAAGCTAGAGGAGCTGGTTCTGAATTTCTACAAAATCCTCTATCCACAAGACACTGAACCTTACATTGACCTGCTGCCAAAAAATTGCTTCCCACGCCTGTCCCAGGATGATCTTCTTTCCTTACTTCGTCCCTTCTCTATTTCTGATTATCATAAAGCAATTTTCAGCATGAAACCACTCTCGGCCCTGGTCCAGATGGTTTTCAGGCCCTTTTTTATCAGAATTTTTGGACAACTGTGGGGAGAACTTTAACTATTATGGCTACTGATTTTTTTGAAACAGGAGCTATACCGGAGAGCCTGATGAACTCCACTATTGTTCTCATTCCTAAGAAGGACCGGCCGGAAACACCTGCTCAATTAAGGCCAATATGTCTCAACAATGTTGGATTAAAAGCCATCACCAAGGCCATCATGAACAAATTAAAGCCTCTGATGCCGAAGCTCATTGCCCCTACCCAGAGTGGTTTTATTCCGAAGAGACAGATGAATGATAATATCCTCATCCTCCAAGAGGTGCTCCACTCGCTACGATCAAAAAAAGGAAGGAAGGGTGGACTTGTTATTAAAATAGACTTGGAGAAGGCTTACGACCGGCTTAGGTGGGATTTCATAAGGGACACACTAGGAGAGGTCGGACTCCCAAGTACCTGGACGAGTCGTATTATGCATTGTGTCGAGCACAACCGTATGAGGATTAGTTGGAATGGAAGACTTACGGATCCGATTACTCCCTCTCGCGGAGTGCGGCAGGGCGACCCTCTCTCACCATATCTCTTCATCATGTGTATGGAGCGGTTGGCCCATCGGATTGAAAAAGCCATAGCTGACAAACAATGGAAACCCCTTACCATCTCTGTTAATGGCCCTAAACTCTCACACTTATTTTTTGCAGACGACCTAATTTTGTTTGCAGAGGCGGAGAGCAGCCAGGTTGCCGTCATTCGTCAATGCTTGGAGGATTTTTGTTCGAGTTTAGGGCAGAAGGTGAACTTTTCGAAATCAGCTATGCTTGTCTCCTCCAACATCCCTCAACGTAAAGCTCACCATTTGAGTGAGCGAGCAGGAATTCCCCTGACTACCGATCTTGGAAAGTATCTAGGTCTCGAGACTATCAATGGGCGTGTTTCAAAAGCTAGATACAAGGACCTCTTCCTTAGAATCCAGAAGAAGCTAGGACTGTGGAAAACTAGACATCTCTCCATGGCAGCCCAGATGACTCTGGTGAGATCTGTCTCATCGTCGATGACTGTTTATCCTATGTTCACAGAGAAACTTCCAATTTCTGTTTGCAACTCTCTTGATAAAAATAACAGGCAGTTCATTTGGGGCGAAGCGGATGGGAAAAACAAATTCCATAACTTAGCCTGGGATCAAATGAACCTGCCACGAAGCCAAGGAGGTGCAGGGATTAGGCCAACTCGACTAGCTAATCAGGCTATGTTGGCCAAAAGAGCTTGGAAGATTGTTAACAAAGATCAAACTCTCTGGTCTCGTGTTATGAGAGCTAAGTACAGCCGAGGCAGGGAAGGGATGGATGTTATGCGAAAATCTAGGGGAAGTTCAATGGCCTGGAAAGGCTTCACTAGCTGTGTGAATGTCTTAAAGAAAGGGTGTGCTTTTAACATTGGAAATGGGCGTAACACTAATTTTTGGTATGATACTTGGGCCTTGCAGGTTTCTTTGGCTGAAGTCACTACAGGAGAAGTGCCGGACGAGCTGAGGGAGAAGAAAGTTGCTGATTTTTGGGAGCCAGATCATGGATGGAAGCTAGGCGACTTCCAGCACTTGCTGCGGAGTGATGTTACAGATAGAATCCGGAGCATCATTGTTGATCCGCTCACAGTTGAAGACGATAGGATCATCTGGAATATCTCCTCGAATGGTCAGTTCTCGACCAGCTCGGCGTACATGGCGATCTCCCCT